CCATGCGGAGTGTCCTGTGCTGTCATGTATGACGCCCTGCGCTGCCATGCGGAGTGTCCTGTGCTGTCATGTATGACGCCCTGTGCTGCCATGTAGAGTGTCCTATGCTGTCATGTATAGTGCCCTGCGCTGCCATGCCTTCTGGATAAGATTGATCTTCTAAGACAGAGCCCTTCTGCAAATTGGTATCACAAAGGTGACCTAGACAGTTGGAGTACAGTTCAGTGGTAAAGAAGATTAAAGAATGGGGAACTGTCTATGAGCAGTACCCATCTCTAGTGCCAGCAGTATTGGTCAACTCCAGCTTCAGATGTGACAGACACAGAAGGGAGGCTTTCTTATTTTAGGACACAGAGACTGTTAGGGCCCTCACAAGTTAAAAAATGTGTGATAATGGCTATATCTGAGTGGGAGGAGGAGTGGGAAATTGTAAGAAGGTGGAAAGAAACAGTCTCCTGTGGGGAACAGCTGTCTCGGCAGAAGCAGAAGGGCAGTTTGAAGTAGAGGGTGGAGATCTCTCAGGGCCAACATCAAGCGGGATGGATGGAAATGCGTGGTTGTTTATATCAACATTGATATATGGAAGTGTTTTAGGCTAGCTCTGGTAGCACAGGCCTACCACCCAGCATCTGGGATGAATCAGGAATTTAAGGCCAGCCTGGATTACATGAAACCATGGCTCAAAAAGAAAAAGAAAAAAGTACTTTCAAGAATGTCTACTCCATATTGTAGGAGTGGCAGACCAAAGAGATGGATTATGATTGTCTCTTGAGTAAACTCATATTGAATTCATGAATTTTACCTGAATTAATGGATTTCACATTTATTTGGTGTGTGTGTGTGTGTGTGTGTGTGTTTGCATATGCCATGGCCAGAAAACAGCTTGCAGAAGTCATTTCTCTCCACCCATCACTTGGGTCCTGGGAATCCAATTCTTGTCAGATTTGCAGTCACTGCTCCCCTGTTGAGCCATCTTGCATGCCGGAGTGAATGCATTTAAATCAACTATTTGGGAACAGGAATGCTGTAGTTTCTTTTCTATTGCTGTGACAGGACACCATGAACAAGGCAACTTGTAAAAAAGTGTTTAATTTGGGGCTTACGGTTTTAGAGGGTTAGCGTCCATGACCATCATTATGGGGAGCATTGGCGGCAGGCAGGCATATGGCTGGAGCAGTAGCTGACAGCTCACATCCTGTTCTGTAAGTAGTAGGCACAGCTAACCTCAAATGAGACCACACCTTCTAATCCTCCCCAAATAGTTCCATTAATGAAGACCAGATCAAGCATTCAAACATGTTAGCATGTTAACACATTCAAATGTGTTAGCATTTATACTCAAACTACTACAAGGAATCATCAGTTAGAATGAAAATACTTAGTGCCTTTCATAATACTTGGTAAAGACAACTGAAATTTTTAATACATAGAATATATGGATGTAGCCAGGCTGTGGTGGCATACACCTTTAATCCCAGCACTCTGGAGGCAGAGGCTGGTGGATCTCCAAGTTTGAGGCCAGCCTGGTTTACAGAGTGAGTTCCAAAACAGCTAGGGCTACACATTGAAACCCAGTCTCAATATATATAATATCAGTAAAAATTCAGCTCATGTCTCCCAAGTTCTCTTCCAGTCTCATTTGCCCTTTCTTCCTTGTCTTGCAGAAGCCCTACAGAGGCCAGTGGCATCTGACTTTGAGCCCCAGGGTCTCAGTGAAGCAGCTCGATGGAACTCCAAGGAAAACCTTCTTGCTGGGCCCAGTGAAAATGACCCCAACCTTTTTGTGGCACTATATGATTTTGTGGCCAGTGGAGATAACACTCTCAGCATTACTAAAGGTAACGGGAAAACAGCAAGCAAGGGTGAGGGGGGTGGCTCGGCTGGCCTGCCCTAGCTCCCTGAGAGAACAGTTTTATAGTGTGGGGACAGAGATACCTCCAGAGCACAGTGCCCACCCTTAGGAGGCTCCAGGGTAGCAGTCCTGTGCACATGCCTCCTGTGTTCCTACAGAAGAGGACACATGGATCTCAGGCTGGAAACATGGGGCTTTGTTATTGTTTTTATCACCAGGAAAAAGCATTTTTTTTTCCCTAAAACGTTTCCTTGCAGTAGGAACAGAACTTTTGAGTAAACTTGAATAATCTTAGATGCCAAGACAGAGTTGTCTCCTGTGTACTCACGATTAACAGGAAGGTAAGATGTGCTAGAGAAAGATAGGAAAGAAGAAAGCCGATCATCCAAACTGATGCATCTGTTTGGTTCTTTCCTCTAAGGTGAAAAGCTCCGGGTCTTAGGTTATAATCACAATGGGGAATGGTGTGAAGCCCAAACGAAAAATGGCCAAGGATGGGTCCCAAGCAACTACATCACTCCTGTCAACAGCCTGGAGAAACATTCCTGGTATCATGGGCCTGTGTCCCGAAATGCTGCTGAGTATCTGCTGAGCAGTGGGATCAATGGCAGCTTCTTGGTGCGGGAGAGTGAGAGCAGTCCTGGCCAGAGGTCCATCTCCCTGAGATATGAAGGGAGGGTTTACCACTACAGGATCAACACCGCTTCCGATGGCAAGGTGGGTAACCACCCTGACTGGGATCAGCAGTGATGGCTCCCTGGTCTTGGTGTGTAGGATTCTCTGAAAAACACAGGGATAGTGTTGTACTTTTGGGTTTGGGACGTAAGTTTGTTTTGCTTTTTTTTTTTTTTGAGAAAGAATTTCTCTTTAACAGCCCTGGTTGTCCTGGAACTCACTTTTTTACCAGGATGTCCTCAAACTCACAGAGATCTGCCTGCCTCTGCCTCCCAAGTGCTGGGATTAAAGACATGTGCCACCACTGCCCTGCTGACGTGGGCTTTTGAAACCTCAAAGCCTACCCCTAGTGACATACTTTCTCCAAAGAGCCATACCTCTTAATCCTTATAATCCTTTCAAATAATATCACCCCTGGTGACAAAGCATTCCATTTTTATTCAAACCATCACAGCATCTAAATTGTTTTTTGGGGGGTACTGGCTCCATGGTGTAGAACTTGCATGTGAACTTGGATTCTTTATGCAGTGCTACAATTCATATTTTTGTTTGTTTGTTTGAGTTTCTCTGTGTAACTTTGGCTGTCCTGGAACCTACTCTGTAGACCAGGCTGGCCTTGAACTCATAGAGATCCACCTGCCTCTGCCTCTCAAATGCTGGGATTAAAGGCATGCACCACCACCACCTGGCTAACGTATATACATTTTGTGCATGCACCCACACATTTTGTTTTTGAAAGATCTTGTTACGTAGTGCTAGCTTGCCTGGATATCACTATGTAGCCCAGGCTGGCTTTAAACTTTTGGCCACGTTCCTGCCTCTGAAGTCCTGACTGCTGGGATTAAGTGTGCACTGCCACACACAGCTTGTTTCATATTAGTGTGTAATGAATGTTCATGGTTTCAAATGACAAACTAATTACAATAAAAACTGTCTCCTAACTCAGTCTCGCCCAGTCTTGTCAGCCTGTGTAGACTTACCCAGTATATCTGTCCTCATGAAGTGGAGACACAGGTGGTGCCTGCATACTGGCGCCCCTCGCCTTTCCAAGGCGTTTTGAAGAGTTTCACAGTGGCTCGTGTAGTCCTGCTTCTGTCGGTGTCCTGTAGTGGTCACTCTGGAATCTCAGCACTTGGGAAGACAAGGCAAGAAGATTGCTTAGTTTGAAGCCAGACATCATGACATAGTGAACTTCAGTGTAAAACTATAGCAAACAAACAAACAAAAAAATCAAAACAGGACAATTTTGTTTTGTTTTGATTTTGGTTTTGTTTGTTTGTTTGTTGCTTTGGTTTTTTTTTTTTTTGAGATGGGGTTTCTTTTTATAGCCTTGGCTGACCTAAAGCTAGCTCTATAGACCAGGCTAGCCTTGAACTCACAGAGATTTACCTATCTCCCAAGTGCTGGGATTAAAGGTGTGCACTACCACCTCTGGCACAAAAAATTTCTCACTGTAATCTTCTACATTTGTTTCTACGCATGAACATGGGTAAGATAGTGGCTGGAACTAATCACGGGTTATACACTCTTTAAAGCTAGTGTCTGTGTTGCCAAGCCTCCCTCTGCAGCACTCGTTCCAGTCTGCCTTCACAGATCTCTGGGGTAAGTCTCCAGACCAGCTTACTAGCTCTCACCAGACTATTCACCATCCTTGTTACTGATTGTTGAAGAAGGTGACCTTCCCAGATTCAGTATACTCCAGAGTAGCGGTTCTTTAGAAGAGCCTTCAGGCTGCAGAGTACCTTTTCCCTAGGAGGTGAGTTTCTGGAGATGACAGTTTGCTCTCCTCTGTTTTCTTTTTGTGGAGCAAGCCAAGCTGCTTCAGGATGACCACTGAGCAAGACCATGCTGTCTAGTCCCGAGTCCTTTCCTTTAATCAGCAGCCTCAGAACAGTATGGCCAGGTGTGGCCTGAGGGGCAACTCATTACCTTGAGCTTAGTCTAAGTTCTGCTTAGAGTGGAGCAGAGTTCAAAGTCCTCTCTGTAAATCGGATATGTGCTCAGAGTATACAGGCCACTGCCATGACTGGCAGTTCATCTGCTCCTCCATGGAAGAGGTTCTCCTATCAACCATCCAGGCGTCTGGAAACTTTGGAGGCTTCTCAGCCCTTGATGAGGCGTTCATCTACAGAAGTTCACATTCAAGGAAGCATTACTGGGTGGAATCATGTCCCCAGAGTGAGAGACAGGCGTCAGGATGGGGAGGTACCACAGCCCTGGCAGGACAGTGGGGCTCAATACTGAAGAATGTTTCCCACATAGCAGGGTTTTGATGCAATCCTCTTTGATTACTAAAGGGAACATTTCAGAATGCTGGGAGGGGCGGACTGGGGCTGATAAAGATTATATTTTATTTCCAAATCAGCCAATCAGTCACCAACCAGATACAGAATATTCTTCTGTAGGGCCCAAACATCTGACTTCCTCCTGACTCCTGTTTACCTCTCTGTGATCTGTGTTTTCTGAGCCTCTCTTGCTTTTTGTTCTTACTCCGGCAAGTCACAGCTGTGCATTCCCACAGTTCCCAAGACCCTGAAGCCTTCCCTCTTCTTGAAGTTTCCGAGCTTACTTTATTTTCATGGTCAGAAGTGACAGGCTTAAGTTGATAGAAATGGAACCCAGGCAGGAAATGTTGGCCCCAGGACCTCCAGATTATCTGTGCTTTGCCTTCCCTGGGACCAAGTGGTGGTGTGAGCATTCTTGGAAGAGCCTGCTAGCTAACTACCTTTCTTTCAGAGGAACTGCTACAGGGTGGGAACTTCAGGACTTTCTGTGAGCAGCTCTGAAGAGCCAGCCTGTCTCAGTTCTAAAGCACAAGTGGCATTGCCCTGTACCCTGGCACCTGGGAGTGTCTCATGAACACTCAGGAAGAGGCAGACTTCTGCCTGAGCATGCTGTATATTTGCAGGGCGGCACAGCACAGAACCAGTCACTCAGCACTAGCTTCACCTGCTTCTCTGAATGCACCCCAAATTCCAAATGTTCGTCCCAGTCATCGCCAGAGTTCTCAAAAACTAGAGCATTCAAAAGGCGACTGCCAGAGTGGGCGGTGTGACTCGAAACATGGCTGGGAATGTTGGTGTGTAAATTTTAGGTTGGAAAATGAACTTAGTCACAACTTTCTGAGGAATGGTAGAGGCTGGGATCTGTCTCCCCAAACCCTATAGAGTGCACTATGTCTGTGGCCGGCATGAGGAGAGGGCTGTGAGCTGTGAGGGTATCGAGCCAATGGTAGGCTGTGTGATAGCACCCTACGCGCTGCACTCACTGTGTCCCCAGAGCTGTTCACAGGCTCGCCTCGGTGCTGTGAGGTGAAGGAGGGCCTGCTGCTCAGATGTCCCTTCTCACAGACCACAGTTGTCACACAAGGAGCGAGGGGTATGTCTAGACAAATCTTGGTTGTCTTGAACTTTTATTTTAGTAGACTTATAGATACATATTTGGCCTGCCTACGTCTAAAAATTGTGTTATGTTCTCAACAAGCAGAAAAGGGAGCATAGATCTGCTACTGAACCCTTGTGATTATCTCCCTTTAAAGTTTTAATGATCTAATATTAACACTATAAGCTACAAAAATAATCGTGTCTGCATTTTACTGCCATAATGAAATAACCTGAAGTAGCTAATTCACAGAGGACAGTTTTATTTAGCTCTTGGTGTGGAACACTGTACATTGAAGCAGCTTGGTATACCCAACAGCCAAAGACCTTGTTCCTTCTGTGTGTGTCTTACCCCCTCCCCCACACTATTCATATGTCACAGCTGTAGTCACGCTCCGTGATCTGCCTGGGACCCAGCTGTTCCATGTAGATGTGAGCATGGAGCAGTTTCTTCCCACAGCACTGCAGCAGGAGACAAAGGTGGCTGCACCTCCCGCCGTGTGCTTTCTGCCAATGTCCACATGAGAACTCTGCAGAGTGTTCCTGGGTAGGCCCTCTGTGCTGTGGCTCTCAGAAAAGCCCCAAAGCACCCTTCTCAAGAGTCTTCCTGTGTTCCCATCTTGGTAAAGACTGTGCTGTCTTCTGACCTACAAGGTGCTGATAGAAACAGTCTCCCCAGGCAAGCTGCCAGCAATACAAGTCTTGGTGTTCGGTGCCTTACACCAAGTCCCAAGCAAGCAAACAGCTTGAGGAGACATTTGCTTCGTTATCAGTTCCCACCCTCCGACCACTGTTTACTTTAACATTTATGGTTATAAATTAAATTCTTTTTTAATTTTTTCCCAGTCAGCAAGTTCACAAGTTCTGCTGTTCATTCATCAGCAAGGACTTAAGTACCTATTTTGGAGTAGTTTCTTATCATGGGAACAACAGAATGGAAAAGATGGCCCAGGCTGTGCTCCCTTGGAACTTAGGTTCAGTTGGGTGGAGACAGAGCTGTCAGCTAACAGTGCAGAAAAGTAAGACAGGTGACGCTGCCTTCCCCACCCTGGTGGTGACTTCAGATTGGGCAGTCAGGGAAAACACTTCAGTTGGAGGGCGGGGACTAGAGAGAAGACTCTTCAGGATTAAGAGCACCACTGCTGCTCTTCCAAATGTTCCCAGTTCCATTGCCCGCACCCACACGGTGGCTTACAACCATTCTCTATATAATTCTGGCTTCAGGGAGTTTGATGCCTTATTCTGGCCTCCAAGAGAGAGCACCAGGCATGCATGGTGCACATATATACATACATGTAACTACCTATCCACATAAAACAAAAATAATTTAAAAATTTAATTAAAAGTAATTCATTGTTGGCTTTAGGCCAGCCGGGTCTGCAGAACAAGTTCCAAGATAGCCAGAACTATACAGAGAAATCCTGCCTTGACACAAAGCAGAGTATTGCACTGGAGGTTAAGGGGGAGTGCTGAAGGGAATGTTAAGGGGCGGGGGGATCAGCAGAGGCAGGTGCACGTGCCCTCAGACTTCTGAGTGTCTCTGTCAGTAAGTTCTACCCCTGCTAGAAAAAGCTTTGGAGGGTGACTCTAAACCATATACAAAGCCTTCTTCCCCTAGTGTTTGCTCTGTGAATGAGGACTGTTCCCTATCTTCCTCAGCTCTATGTCTCCTCGGAGAGCCGCTTCAACACTCTGGCTGAGTTAGTTCACCATCATTCCACGGTGGCTGATGGGCTCATCACCACGCTCCACTACCCAGCTCCCAAGCGCAACAAGCCCACCATCTATGGTGTGTCCCCCAACTATGACAAGTGGGAAATGGAGCGCACAGACATCACCATGAAGCACAAGTTGGGTGGTGGCCAGTATGGGGAGGTGTACGAAGGTGTGTGGAAGAAGTACAGCCTGACTGTGGCTGTGAAGACGTTGAAGGTGAGTTTGGGGCCTGGTTGAAGGGTGTAGGTGGGATGTCTGCTGTGCCTCAGCTGTGCCCAGGCCTTTGTGAGGCTCATCGTCTCCCATCTGTGGCTCCAGAGGTGCTGAGCGCGGACCAGTGCTGAGGGTCGGGAAAGGCTCCTAGAGTTGCTTGTTCTGTGGCAGTGTTCTTTCAAAGTCTACTTTCTGTTCTTGTTGGGTGACATGGAGGCCACTTCCTTACGAGAGTTCAGAGATGCACAGAGTTTGGGTTGGAAAGGAGAGTGATGAGAGATGAGTCCTCTGTGGACTGATACAAAAGGCAGATGTGTGCTGTCCTGGCATCGTCCAGTTCTCTCCCACAGGCCAGGCCTCTGCATACAGGAGCGAGTCCTTTTTTTAGGGCTCCAGACCCCATCACAGATGGCTGTGAGCCACCATGTGGTTGCTGGGAATTGAACTCAGGACCTTTGGAAGAGCAGACAATGCTCTTAACTGCTGAGCCATCTCTCCAGCTCCGCGAGTCCTTTCTAGAACAGCTCCAGTAAGCGATTATCACTGAGCTATGGCCTTTCTTCGTCCCAGGACCGCGCACCTCTCCACTGCTGACCAGTTTTCTGTAAGGTTAGGACCCCATCCCTGCATCTGCACAGCCTGAGGTGAGAGTGTCACCTGGTGTTCACCTACAGTGCTTGCTTGTGCCTGTTTTAGACAAACTCTGAGGTACAGCCTGTGAGTAGCCGCCAGAAAAGGGCCCAGAGCTGCCCACTGTTGGGAAAACAGACCCGAGTGTGTGCTTGTGTCTCAGCTCAGTCAGACTGTACATCTGACAGGCTCAGCTCTGCTCTAAAAGACAGTAAAATGGAGGCTGGAACTTTTAGTTGCCATAAGTAACTGTTTAAAGCAAGACTGCATCCCTAGATTCTAGAAGGAAAAGCAGCTTTCTGAGCTCCACAGTTAGTATTTCCCCTCCCTTTGGCCCTGGGGCAGACTAGTGCTAGGGGAAGAGGAGCAGAGGTGGGATTTCCTGGTGTACTCTTGAATATTTTCCAAATTCAGCTTTTTAAAACTTAACAGATACAGGGCTCTTTGCATTTATTAGCTAAACCCTAGTGCTCAGGTCTGGGTGGTCCACATCAGATGAGAAATGGAGATGGCAGTACAGTGTGTCAGGGCAGTGTCTGATGACAAGGTCTGCCATGTAAGGAGGAGGCAGTGATGCCTGCAGTGGTTAGAAGAATGGGAATCATGGCTGTGATGAAGGGCAGAGGCCAGGAGAGACACTGGGTCTTTGAGGGACAAGAAGCCCCAGTAAGGAGGAGGCAGATGCTCAAGGCAGATCTGATTCCATCCGTTTTGCATAGCATGAGGGGAGAGTGCTGATCCATGTCAGTACACCTGGCCGTGGTGTCACTGACTGAGAGGGCCAGGCATCGCTGGCAGGGATTTAAAACACAGCAAGGAAGTTTTAAAACACGGGGTACCTGAGATTTCACAACAAGGGAAGGCTAATTTGAAAACCTTCAAGGGCCTGCAAGGTGACTCAGTCAGTAAGTGCACCTGATGGCAAGCCTGACAACCTAAGGGTTATCCCCTGAGCCTTCATGATGGCAGGAGAAACGCATTCCCAGAAGACTCCCCAGAGTTGTCCTCCAGCCAGCACACACGTGCCATAACATATGCTCTTCACACACAATAAATAAGTAATGTGAAAAACACAGCATTTAAAAAGAGGTAGAGGTTGCACAGGGGGAAGCCCCATTGGTGGGCAGTGCTGCAGCTCTCCACAGTGGAAGGGAGTCCAGAGGAGGGTCTGTTCTGGTACTTTCTGCTAAGACCTCAGTGAGTTTCCCCAGGAGCCTCATTGGCATGTGTGCCATGGTTGGTAAAGAGTGACAGGGTCTGTTAGGTAGGGAGTTCTCATGGTGCACAGCACCTGACCACAGAGAGGCAGTTCACCCACTGTGGAGGTGTGTTACCTCCAAACACATACTGTGTAACCACTGCCCAGTCCTGCATACAGCTCCACAGTCTGTTACCCATTTGCCAGAAAAGAGTAATAAAGTGTTTCGGTTCTTTATCTCCTCTACAGAAGTTGAGAACTGTACTAAATTAAGCTAATGGCCAAAGTTACTGTGCGAATACAGGCCCACAGAGTTCTCTGTGTGTTCATAAGCTTAGTCCACCCTGCAGCTCCATAGCACTCACAGGTGCCAAGACAGGGAACCAAATACGAATGCAATCACCATTAAGGCTGTGTGGAAGCTGGAGTACTGAGCTGAATTCGAACCCAGGCACCTAGATCCCAAGCCCAACTCTTTTTGCCATCTCCTCCCTCATCCCTTATGACAGTGGTTCTCAACCTTCCTGATGCTGCAGCCCCTTAATATAGTTCCTCATGTGATGACTCCAACCATAAAATTATTTCGTTGCTACTTCATACTGTAATTTTGCTACTGTTATGAATTGTAAATATCTGATATGCAGGCCATCTAATATGCAATCCCAAAGGTGTAGCAACCCACAGATTGAGAAACCACTGCCCTATGGCCTTCCCTTGCTGAACATAGCTGTGAAACACCCCTCAGAGAACCCTACCGGCTTTTCCGGCTTCCTTCTTTCAGCAGGCTCACAGAGCAGTGCTTCCTCTCATCCTTAACCAGCAGAGGGTGCAAGACCTGCTTGTCCTTGGACCCAGTCCTCCCCATTCATGTGGAAGGCAGGTTCTGCCTTTGGAGAGCAGGAAAAGAGAAAGGCACTTGGTTGACCTCTATAGATGGGAAACTGTAGTTGTACTGTAAGTGAAAGCAGGATTCTGCAAGTGGATGCAGCGCCTGGGTTGTTGTATAGATTTGGGTTTTGCTGTTTGACTTTGAGAGCTTTAGTGCTACTATGTGCATAGTTGAATCTGGCCTTGACCTTGTTACAGTGTATTGTCACGCCCAACACAGAGTGTGCTGAAGAAAAATAACTTAAGCTGGGGAGATGGCTTGGTGAGTAAAGTACTTCTATGCAAGCGTGAAGCCAGCCAGGGTAGCATGTCTCTAACTCAGTGCTGCTATGGCAAGATGGGGAGCAGAGACAGAGAGTGCTGGAAGCCTGTAGGCCACTCTGCCTAGAGTGCAGTGCAGCGACAGACGACAAGGAGGAAGGTGAAAACTTTACCCAGTTGTTCTCTGACCTGTAAGCATGTGCTGTGGCACATACACCATGGCACATCTGCATATGTTGCATGCACACCAAAACAAAACCCCAAAACAAACATCTACCAGGCTTTTTTCTTTCGGGCCACCAACCAGCTCCCAATTCATGACAGAGATTCAGTTATGAATGTTCAGCCTAGTTTAGACTTATTTCTGGCTAGCTCTTTTAGCTTAAATTAACCTGTTTCTCTCTACCTTTTTTGCCTGGGGCTTTTTACCTCTCTTATTCTGTATAACTTACACTGCTTCTTTTGGCTGGCTGGCTGGCGGCTGCCTGGCTTCTGGCCCCAGGCGTTTCCCTCGTTCTTTCCTCCTCCTCCTCCTCCTCCTCCTCCTCTTGTTCCTCTCAAGCCTAGATTTCTCCTCCTATTTATTCTCTGTCTGCTAGCCTCACCTCTCCTTTCTCTGCCTAGCTATTGGCTGATCAGCTCTTTATTAGACCAATGGGGGCCTTAGGCAGGCAAGGTTAAACAAATGTGGCATATTCAAATGTAACACATCTTTGCCCAGTTAAAGAATATTTCACAACACAAACAAACAAACAGCTATTGAGTAGAAGGAACCTAGATTTTTTAAAGAATTATTTGAAAGACGTTTGGAATATTAGTTGAGACTACTTTAGGGTCTAGTTGTGGCAATGATACTGACTCAGAAGCTCACTGACAGAGCAGCGGGAAACAGCCACAAGCGAAGCAGCACAGCCAAGCCTCAATGTGAGCACAGTGTCCTCCCCCAGTTGGTGGCTGGGGTCCTGGCTGCATCCCCATCAGCATTGAGAAACTACCTGTGTCTCCCTGAGGAGCAGCAGATCTGCCTCCCCCCGCCCCGAAATGGTTTATTGGGGACTCTAGAAACAGCCAATGGAAAGGGAGTTCTGCAACAACATGGACATTTGGCAGCCACACTGCAGGTTCCACATAGGCCTGCATACCAGGGAGAAAGGCGCTGTGACTAGCTTGTTGTACCATGGTGGCTGGTTACTGTACTGCCATTCTGGCAGGGCTCTGCTGACCATGGAGATCAGTATTTGAGATGGCCATGATGTTTGAGAACAAGTGGTTTTTTGTGGGCTCTTTGTGGGAAGTAGTTACAGGCTAGCTGTGGAACTTCAGCTTCTACACCTGCTTCCCAGCACAAAGGCTAGTCAGGAGCCAGCATCTCCCCCACGGTGCTCTTAGCTTTGTGTGTGCATGGCAGGCCACTGTGCTGTTGGCCACACTCACCTGAGAGCCCAGGAACAGAGTCATATCTAAAAGTGGTACCCCTCTTAAGCTGTAGACTGCCACACTTGGGGCGAGGCCAGGAAGCATGTTAGATAGATGTCTGTTGTTGAGTCTCAGTGATTGTGCCTGTGCAAAGACAAGAAAATAAAATAAAGGTCAGTATTAGAAAGCCAGTCTGTCTTCCAGAAGAGCCGTGTGCTTGTTCCACCTCTTAGCACCAGAGGCAACTGCCACAGCAATAGGATTACATGGCCCTGATGCCTGATGGCTAGGCATTGAAAACATCTTCCGAGGCTGAGGTGCCCAGCTCCAGTGCTGTCTAGCGTGCACAGAGCCTTGAGCTTGCTCCTTAGCACTGTATACAGATGCTATCTGCAGAGAGGTGGAGGCAGAAGGAGCAGGGGTTGGAGGCCATCACATGAAACCCTGCCTCAATTAAAGAAGGAAAAAAGGAGAGAGTGGGTAGGGGGTGAGGGGCTCATAGAAAATGAGAGAGAGAGAGACAGACAGACAGACAGACAGACAGACAGACAGAGAGACTGTTAACAGGGAGAGAGACAGACTGACAGACTCAGGTCGTTAAGCTACCGGGGAAGGACATAGCAGCAGAACTTGGTCAGCATAACTGACAAGCTGTCCTTAGCCACTCTTTAGGACTGTCTTAGAGGATCCTGCTTCCTCGCAAGACCCTGTGAAGAAAGCAGTTGACCCCTCTTTCCCCAACAAGTAAGTGTAAGGGACAAAAAGATGAAGGAAAATTCAGACCTCTAAGTGTTTCTTCCACCCAGCCCATCATAGTCCTATTTTATTGTGTAAATGGAAGAAGGATGGTGTGAATTTAAAAAATAAACAGAGGAGCTTCGCAAGTTAGAATGACAGTTTTGATATTTTGTTTTGTTTTTTAAATTTCAATAGTTAAAAACCTAGATTACACATAAAATAAGAAATTAAATCGTGTCTAATTCCAGCAGGGGGAGACAAACTCACACTGATTTTTCTGAAAGAAAAAAGGCAAGGAATGATGTGTGTGTGTGTGTGTGTGTGTGTGTGTGTGTGTTGGGGTGGAGTCAGGCATACAGATAGATAGGAAGGAATGATTGTTCTGTGTGTGTGTGTGTGTGTTGGGGTGGAGTCAGGCATACAGATAAACAGGAAGGAATGAGTGTATGTATCAGTGAGGGGGTGAAGTCAGGCATATGGATAGGCAGGGGGGAATGATTGTTCCATGTGTGAGTGCATGTGTGTGAGACAGCGCGGAAATCTGTAGATACACAGCAGGAAGGTGATTTTGAATAATGTTCTGCCTCAGGATCATGGGCCTTTTTAAGAAATCCACAGCAAGTGAGATTCCTGAGGCGATGTGACTGGGTGGTTTACTGTAGTGCGTTCCACTAGAAAAGAAAGGCACAAGGTGGTGGTGGTGCATGCCTTTAATCTCAGCATTTATGAGGCAGAGACAGGTGGATCTCTGTGAGTTTGAGGCCAGTCTACTCTACAAAGCAAGTTCCAGGACAGGCTCCGAAGCTACAGAGAAACCCTGTCTCAAAAAGAAACAAACAAACAAAAGGCAGAAAGAAAGTAGAAGGACTTGAATGTGAATGTTAGAAAGGATCACTGGAGAGTAACTTTGTCATAGCCAGTTGTATTGTGCAGCATTGGCCCCTGGGTTCTGGCAGGCACCGCTAGTCTTAGTGTGTCACCAGATACATTAGGGTATTGCACACCAGAGCCAGACAGGCTGCCGAGCAGCTGAGAAACAGAAGGGACTTGGAAAGTCCAGCAGCCACTGGTGGTGTGAGAATGAGTGCCCTTTGCTAAGCTTGGGCAGTGACAGGCAACATGCTGTGGCAACATTAAAGCAGCTCACGTTTAAAGAGCAGCAGGTCACATCTCAGTCTAGTCTTTTGGAACCTGTGTTTAGTGTTAACAGACCAACACACTGGCATTGATCATGCTTTGCTTCTCAGCATGGCCGACCAAAGGGAAGAGGCCCCAAGAAAAGGTTGACCCATCCTCTGGAGTGTCTTTCCCCTTGTCAGAGCAGGAACTGGAACAGCCAGAGTGCCAGCTTTGTGAACAGTTCCACTCTTGGCACAAACACAAACTCAGTGTAGACACACTTACACACTTGACATGGGAACAGTGTGGACACTTACACACTTAGCACAAGGTCTGGTGGAACTACCTACCCAGAGAAGCTCATTTTCCAGAATTCTCTTCCCTACCACACAGGCAGACTCCTTGCAGACACCTCATGTGATCTGCTGTCCTCCTTGCCTCCAGAGCCTGTTCTTACAGCTAGGGAGACTCTGCCACTCCCCACTGCCTGTTCCTGTTGTGGTTAAGAGGCAGTGACTTAAGTTGCAAGGAGCATAGAACACAGTCCTTCAAACTCAGCCTAGAAAGGGAAAGAGTGGCAGTCTGCCTGTCTCTGGTCCTGTACTGTGACCTACACCGAAGACACTGTGAATTGTCAGAGAGCTGCTGCTAAAATGAGATCATTTTAGAATCTGGGTGATTGACCCCCTAGTCAGTGGTGATTGCTTCATTAGGTGCTCATGATGCCGCATACCTAAGCAGCTCAGTATCTGTCTGCTACTTCTGCCAGTGAGAGGCACTCTGGAGATGCAGCTCTCGAGCCAGCTCCATTTCAGATTCTTGACACTGTTCCCTCTTTAATGTTAAGGGTGTTAGATTGGGAAGCACACAGTACTTGTGGAATCAATACCATAGTGTTTGTACTTCTCCAAGAGCACAGAAGACCTGGGCAGCAATGCCAAGCAGCTCTGACCCATGACCCATTGACTCACTGGTAGAACATCTGGTAGAAACAGCAAGGGAGAAAAGATCCAGTTTGGTTCGTGGTGTCAAAGGGTTTCCACCTATCACTATGGAAGGCGTGGCAGAGTGATCTGGTCTATAATGGCAGGCGTGTGTGACAAAACCACTTCCATGATCATAGCTGGTCTAGAACCAGAGACTGGGTCTAACCTTTAAAGACCTGCCTGTAATGAGAACTTGTTCCAGACAAGCCCCACCTCCTGAAAGGTCCACAATTGCTCCATCAGCTGGGGAGCAGCTGTTCAAGACATGAACCTGTTGGTGACATTTCATATTCAGTCCATAATACTGTTGATGAGAATTTGCCCCACAAGGCTCTGCATATCACTAGGACAAGACTCATTGAGCTTGGCAAGGACAGTGTAACCAGTGGTCACCAAAAACAGTGGCCTAGGCTGAGTGTCAGTTGCCTCTGCTATTTGCATTAGCTCTTGAAGCTGTGTCCTTCCTCGTAGCCACTTCCTTGCTAAACAAATCCTATGCTCCTGAACTTCCCTTCTGCAGGAGGACACCATGGAGGTGGAGGAGTTCCTGAAGGAGGCTGCAGTGATGAAGGAGATCAAGCATCCTAACCTGGTGCAGCTGCTAGGTAAGCATGCACAGACTCAGAAGAGGGGCTCTGGTCCAGATGTCCGTGTGCTGAGTGAGCATCATTTCTTAATCAAAGACAGCTGTGTGTTTGAGGGATGGGGGAGTCAGAAGACAGGTAGAGTAGGTTTCCGCTGTCCACCATGGGGTCTGGGGGCAGGCAGGCCCGTGTGACAAACACGTTTACTCACTGAGTTGTCGCACCAGCTCAGAAGCCTTTTCTTCAGCACCAGACTTTTCTAGGGTTCCTTCCCTTGGGAGGAGGGCCATATGCTCACGCCCCCCCCCCATGTCCTGTTGTCAGGGGTGTGTACCCGGGAGCCCCCGTTCTACATCATCACGGAGTTCATGACCTATGGTAACCTGCTGGACTACCTGAGAGAGTGTAACCGGCAAGAAGTGAGCGCCGTGGTATTGCTCTACATGGCTACACAGATCTCCTCAGCCATGGAGTACCTGGAGAAGAAGAACTTCATCCACAGGTAGGGTTGGGCAAAGCAACCCCACCCAGCCTCACCCCTGCTTCAGAACACCAGTCTTAGTACTCAGCTCCCAGCCTTGGTGCTGGCAGCTCACTGGCTCTTGAAACAAAGGCAGACACAAATGCCTGACGTAAGTGCTGCTTGTGGCAGACGGGACTAAGTCCTTCAGGCCCCAGGCCTGGGCCAGTGGAGCAGCTAATTCCCGGGAAAGAAGTGTTTCATTTCTGAGCCATTTTGGACTTAGTGAATATTAAATGAAATTCGTAAAAGGCCTCTTTCCTTCCTAATAGCCATGACTCCCTCTGAAACAATGCAGCCCAAGACCAACACTCAGTAAAATCTCTGCCTGAGCACAGTGAAAGCCAGGACCTAGGCCTAGTTTGTGTGTGGCTTTTCTTCCTTCTCTTTGTTTTTCATTGTCCACCGGCTGTCACTGGGTTTGGGGATGTTTCCATGGCTGTAGAAATGTACAGAATATGCAAGCCGGAACTAGGCATTTTTGCTGCTTTTAAAACCCGGAGTGTTTTGACCTTCAAGTGTGCCACAATTATCTGGGTTTGCATGCTTTGCTGGTGGAAGTGGCTTCCTAGCAGAGTGACAACCTGTGCAGGAGGGAGCCTGATGGGCTTGGCCCGACTCCGTCATGCAAGATGTTCTCCACGCCACTGTGGTGACCTTTCCTACCCAATTAACTCAAGTGTGAAACCTCGACATGAGATTTCATAGCCAGGAATAAGTAGTGTGTGTGAAATGCTGGCAGCCCTTCGGAAGACAGATTTTTTTCTGCTCCACGAGAGCCCAATCCAAACGCTCCTGTCGCTCAGCAAAGTGAAGCCTCTGATGCTGCAAATTGAGATTTCCTGACTTCTGGCTTGCCTTGCATGGCCAGCTCTGTTCCCCCTCCATTCACACACTTAAAATGCCTTACCAAAATCCTATTAGGCTCAACTCTTGTGTGTTTAATTTCTCTCTCGTTGCTGATAATCAATCTGCGCCCTACAGCCATCACCGTCAGCTGCCTCATCATTTCATTCCTCAGTGCCCAGTTCCCTTGTGATTTCATGGGTAACATCCATGAGCCAAAGATTAGACCCCTTCTTCCCTAGAAGATTCAAGAGGTGAGAGGAGGTGGATTATACAGAAAAGTTTCTCAAACATATTTGGGTAGACATCAGGAAGCAAGAGGAGAGGAGAGAGTGTATTATATGGGTAAAGAGTGCAGCAGACTCAGTTTCATTTCCTGCTGAGTATAGACAGGACAGGCAGAGAGACTCTTCAGACTCCTGCGCTGAGCTTTGGGCTAACTGTCCCTGTGCCTGGTGTGGGGCAGTAGCAGCACAAGCATGTCGGTAACACTTGTTATTCTCCCTTATCAGAGGAAGTGCTCTACTATCCATTAACACACACAGCTGCCCAAGGCAGGCCCTGTTCTGTTTGCATTTTATGGCTGAGGTAGCTGAGTTCCAAGGTAATGATCTGCCCCCATTGCCACCCTGTCTGCTTGTGTTACTGCTGTGGCAGCCCAGCTAGTATTTGCTGAGGGACTGTTGCTCCCAGCCAGGCATTGGAAAGCTTCTGAGGAGCACACGTGATTGTCTTTGTGTTAGTGTCGCATCTGTCAACAGTAGGGAGGCTGCAAAGTTGGGGAGGTATTGAGGAGCTGGTACAGATGCCCTTTTCCTTTCTCAGAGACCTTGCTGCTCGAAACTGCCTGGTTGGGGAAAACCATTTGGTGAAGGTGGCTGATTTTGGCCTGAGCAGGTTGATGACAGGGGACACCTACACGGCCCATGCTGGAGCCAAATTCCCCATCAAGTGGACTGCACCTGAGAGCCTCGCCTACAACAAGTTCTCCATCAAATCGGACGTCTGGGGTAAGGGCCAGTCCTGGGCCATCCTTGCCGGTGAGGGTTCCCCTCCTCTGCTTCTCTGCTCCATCTTTCCTCCGTCACTACACCCTCTTGTTTGTTTCTGGCTTATTTTAAAATTCTGTTTCCTCTTTTCTTTCAAAAGTGAAGCAGGTGACCTCCAGAGTCACCGAGAGTGGCACCACATTCGTGTCTTCGTTCCACAAATGCTGTAGACCTGACCTGGCAGCGCAGCAGCAACCCTGCAGGCACCCAGCATCACCCTCTCCACGGGAGAGCTTTCTCTTTGGTTTGGGCTGTAAAAAGGGTCCTTCGTGTGGAAGTGCCACTTGATATTGATTTTATTCATAAAGAAAGAAATTTTTTGAGATGATCTTTTTACATCACTTCAACTGTCCTAGGACTCATTTTGTAGACCAAGCTGGCCTCAAACTCAGAGATCCCCCCAGCCTCTGCCTCCTGGGTGCTGAGATTAAAAGTATGTGCCACAATGTCTGATTTAAAGAACTTTTCATGCTGAGGGTGACAAAAAAAGATGGAGTTGAGTAGTGAGCCCTGTGCCCCCACCCACTCCCTTGTCTCTTATCATTTTAAGGCAAATCCCAGACATATTATTTTTCACATAAACACTTCAGTATTTGCTTCTTACAGATGACTCTTATAGCTTCTGAATATTATAAAATATCTACTGCTTTCTTTTCCAGTTAAACCATAAAAACCATGTCTGTTTACACTTTGACCTGAGAGCCAGATATGACTCACTCACTGCCTTAGTCTGTGTGTCCTGTGCCTCTGGCCTATATCTCCATCAGTGACTCCATCAGTTTCCTGCTGTTTGGATATTGATAAACTCTCACTTCTCCTTTAGACAGTTCCAGATTCTGGGCTTTGCTTGTTGTCCCTGTGCTGTCATCTGCTCAGTGCCTCTGGCTTCCATCCTCATAGAAAATTCAAAGTCAGATCTGGGTAGCTGATGACATTTGGGTTGACTTTTCTTTCACTTACTACATCAGAGGAGGTGGCATACTCTTAACCTGATCCATAATACTTGATTTTTCTCCCTCTAGTGCAGCAGCTCTCAGCCACTTTGACAATCCTCTGTCTACAAAAATATTTATATTACAGTTAATAACAGTAGCAAAATTACAGTTAAGTCACAGCATTAGGAAGGTCTCAGCCACTGCTCTAGTGGGATGTTGTATAGCAGCCCTTAATGACCAGAGCCAAGACCATTGGTTACTGGGGCTGTCATGTGATCATTCTCTAACACCTTCATCCCATATTTAGTTAGCCACAGAGTGTAAAAGAAAAGGCCTGGCAAGTGCTTGGTTGCCAGCAGTAGAGCTGGTGCAGAAATGGGTTCAAGTGAGCTGCCTGTCATGGCTCCCACGTAGCCAAGTGCCCTGTGGTGGTGGCAGTTGGATTTGCTAGTCTTTTGTGGTATTATGAACTCTTTGTTGACATACACTGTTATGTTTCAGTGTACTGTGGTCTTCTTAACAGTGGCATGTCTCATCTTTGGCCAGTAGGAACGCCTCCCTTGCCCTTTTGATAGTACCTTTGTAGTCTTCCATAATATCTGTGCTGTCTGGAATGACAAGATACTCCAGGCTTCTTCCCTGTTCCAGATATGAGTCACCTGTTTTTCTAAGGACCCCTGGTTCTGTTAGTGGGAAGGACATCAAGACTTCAGAGTTGCAAAGTTTACGAACTGATAGAGCTAGAAGGGATCTTGAATAATCATACCCACCTTGAAACACCGATGGCCTGACAGGCATGCAACTTCACAGTCACAGAGGTATAAGCAAATGTGGTCTCTGACTTCTAGCCCTTGTGCACTTAACCGAGAGACCCTGTACCCCAGGAGGTCACTTTCCCCTTCTCTCCTTTGATGTGTTTCAGTGTAGTGTGAGTAAACAGCTTTGCTCTGTCCTGCCTCTCCTGACCTGTTATCATGGAGAGCTGTCTGCTGCACTGTGGAAAAGCCTGATGCCTCCTTTTCACATGTTTGCGTGTGTGCACATGTGTGTGTGCGCGTGTACACTTGGGCACATGTGTGAATGTCAGAGGACAACTCTGTGGAGTCACTTCTCCCCTTCCCCCTTTGTGTCGTTCCGGGATCCAGAGGTCTTGTTTGCTTGTGAGACAGATGCTTTACCCACTGAGCCATCTCACTGGCCAGCGCCTCACACACCCTGATGTCTGCCTCTTCCTTTCTTTCAGCGTTCGGAGTATTGCTCTGGGAAATTGCTACCTATGGCATGTCACCTTACCCAGGGATTGACCTGTCACAGGTTTATGAGCTGCTGGAAAAAGACTACCGCATGGAGCGCCCCGAAGGCTGCCCAGAGAAGGTCTACGAACTCATGCGAGCATGTGAGCCTCCCTAACCCGTTCAGAAAGTGCATGTGGGCACTGAGGAAAGTGTGATGGTACAAGTGTCTGCAGAATGCTGTTCCCGTGGGCCCTTAGCACTGTTCTGTGCTCCCGAGCCACTCGTAGAGTCTGGTTTTGGGATGCCTTTCAATGCATTTATTTACAGATACCATACATATGAATTGTTTTTGTTTACTTTTGAGAGTGATATTTTTTGGTTTATTTTTTGGTTTGGATTGGAATCTTACTCTGTAGCTGTGGCTGGCCTGGAACTCAAATGACTCTCTTGCTTAAATCTCACAAGTTCTAGAGTGACAGATACGCACCACATGCCCAGGTTCTAGGGTTACAGGTACGCACCACATGCCCAGGTTCTAGGGTTACAGGTACACACCAC